AGACTATTTATAACTATTAACATGTTGGAAAAGAAGAGAAAGAGTAAAGGTTTTAAGAGTATTTCTTTGTATAAAGAAAAAGGAATATAAAGATATAAAAATTTTGAGTATGATGTGAATAAAACATTCTTGAATGGAATAAAAAGAGAAGATAGAGCAAAGAAAACACCTTGAATCTATCCCATTGTTCTCTGCATTAAATAACTGGTGACTGGTGTTCATAGATTTATTGATTTTTGCAATCATAAGCATGTTTTATATCTTTGGTATTTTCTGAAATTATGTGTCTCTTAATTTTTTTTAGATTTATTTATGCATCAAGAACTGGGGTACAGGCCAAAGTATAGGGAGTGAGAGCATTCACCAGAGACAGAGTGGGGAGTGGCAAAGGCAGACTGATGAAGTACACACTGAGCAGAGCAGCGGGTGAGACAGGAGAGGTCTGCCACATCAAATGGGTCACCTCCCTGGCCAGGGATCGAACTTGTGCTGCAGTAGCTGTGGACAGCTTCCTAGTGCTTTAATCCATTGCATCACCAAGGAGGGCCCAATGTCTCTTAACTTCTAAGGAGTATTAAAGTCACATGTCTCTTAGATTTCTTTACCTATGGTGTTGAATGGCTATGTCCATTAGACATACGGTTTAACATTGTAGTACTAGGCAGTGACCATTAATTTTCATAGTTGTAGCAATTCATAAAATTCAGATGAAATGCAACATGGTGACTCAAGTGATTCAACAACACCTCAACTTGTAGTTTCTTTTAGGTAAATACTTAATCCTTTAGGATGGACCCTGTTACTTTTCTCTATCTCCCCAGGACTGAGAGATGGGAAGGGAGTTATGTGAATCTTGTTTGTCTTTGGTGGCATCTACTGAGGCTGGGCTGGTCTGCACAGTGTGTGCCCACTGATGAAGCGTTTTCCCTCTGGTTGGTTTTGTTCAAATTCTTGACCCTGCATTTCCTTTGCTAACAACACAAGGCCCTTCTCTCCCCCCATATGCTTTTATTTGAAAACATTTTTTTTGCGCAGTAAATATTTGCCAATGATGAATACCACCACTTTTAAAATAATCAATTAAGTGCTTACATTATCATTAAATCCCTAAATATTAGAAAAAAGCTAAAATACTTCCATATTTCTTAGTTTATGATAGAAAACTTTTTTCTTTCATAATATTCAGCCTAAATGTTGATGCTTTATTCCCAACATGGACTGTTGAAACTACACTTGTAAATATTGCTGTGTCAGATATATACATAGAAAAAGAATGATGAATTAATATGTATTATATATGTATATGTGTATGTGAGCACACCAATCACCACATCGGTGAGCATTGTTATTTAGTGCAGAGAACAATGGGATAGAATCAAGATTCTCTTTGTTTTTATACCTTTACTATTCCTTTTTCTTATACAAATTTTTGAAAACTGAAAGTTATTTTTTACAAATTAGAAACCATTGTTATTTCAATCTCTCCAGACCTAGTATTTCATCACTGAGTAGTGATTATGGTCATGGGTGCTGAAGTCTTAATTTTTTGGGCTAAAATCACTCATTAGTTTTTGTGGCTTTGAGCAAGGTCTGAATCTTTTTGTATAGCAGTAATCTCATCTTTGAGATGGGAGTAATAACTGCTCCCATCTCCATGGACTGGTTGTGGGGATAAGTGAATTAAGGTATACTGGTATAAATTAAGAGAGAACTTTTATTTAAAATTACTAGTATAGGCCCTCCCTGGTGGCACAGCAGGTTAAAGCACAGCACTGAGAATCTAAAGCCACTTCCGCATGAGTTCAATTCCCCCCTGCCCAGGAGGTGACCACATGGCGTGGCAGACCTCTCCTGACCCGCCCACTGCTCCCCTCAGCAGTGTACTTCGCAGATCTGCCTGTTCTGCTCCCCACTCTGTCTCTGGTGAAGCCTCTCGCCCTCCCCACCTCTGGCCTGTACCCCAGTTCTGTATGCACAAATAAATAAATCTTTAAAAAAAAAAACGTTTAAAATTACTAGTATAGCTAAGGTCCATACTTGGGGCTTTGAGATAAAAATAAAAAGTCATAAACCCTTATACAGTTTGCTATCTAAGTGGGAAGTAAAACTACAGTCTCACAGAAAGTTACATATTTTAATTCCTGAGAAGAAAACTGACAGCTCAGTTTAGCAGCATAGACCAGCCTCTTAAATATAGAAACCATGGGGGTTCAGTGACCAGAACTGGAAGATGACCTTTATAAAAGATATGATCACACATTGCTTCCCTTCACCTGATACTTATCTCTTTTCCATGATGAAAAAAAGCTCAAGGCAGATTGTATAATAAACACTATTTGCAGTGGCCCAGGCTAGTTAATCCTGCAGAGGCTTAGCCATGGTGAACATTAAATGACGCACATGCTGATGCTGGATTAAGGCTCTTGACAACAGTGGTTAATTGAACTCTGAGTGTTCTGGGATAACCCACTTCTCAGTGGGGTGTAGAGAGGAATAGAAATAGGGTATAGGGGAGGATAGAAACTGCTTCAGGTGATTTTTAAAAATTTTCTGAGATTTACAGAGTTCCAGAGGTAGTTACCTAGCACAAAAGGTAGTACTGTACAAATAAAAACCAGCCCAAGACTACATATTCAGTGGCCAAATGAATACTGCAGCTAATGGTTCCTCTCAGATCAAGGATAAGGCTGCTTGTGGTCTGCAATGATCATGAAAAGCCTTGAGAAGCAGAAATGACCTTCATCTCTCTTTCAAGTCAAATATTAATTCCCCTTAATTTTTTAATTTGTCACTGTAGATTTTTACCCACAGACTATCCCTGAATACAGGAGAATTTTGGGGGCTAAATTATTAACTTAGTAGTTTTGTTTCCACCTATTGATTTGTTTCCTTCATCTACAACATGGCTTTCTATAGGGAAGAAACAGGTATTATGAGTTGCAGACAATTTATAAGTGCACTTTTAAACACTCTGCTTTGATTCATTCCTTCACCCAACAATTATTTGACAGCTCCTGTGTATCAAATACTGTTGTAGGAGCCTGTGAATAAAACGAAGATCTCTGTACTTATAGATCTGGCCCAGACAGTTAAAGAACACAGTTATTGGTATAGTGTGCTGGAAGGTTGTAAGTGTAGTGAATCAAGTAAAAGTATAGCAAATTAAGAGGATGGGGTTAGGTGGCACTTTGTTTTTATTATTATTTTTTAAATTGAGGTAATGCTGGTTTAAACTGTTTGTATCCTTTCGGTTATATTACCATAGTGCTTTTAAACAGGATGATCACTTGAGGGAAGAACAGTATGGCGAAGGAAGGAAGAGCCAGTGCAAAGACTAAGCAAGGGAGAACTTAAAGAATTTAAAGAGAGTGCTAGTACACAGCTGAAAGTCCGTGGGAGAGAGGGGTTTGGAGTAAGTTAGGTAACGGTGGGGACAAAACTACATCCCAGATTATGTAGCCTGGCAGGCTATCCTAGAGTCCTTGAGAAAGAAGTCACTTGTATTGGCCTGGCGTAAAGGGCCACCTATATTAACTACTATTTCCTGTCTCCCATACTTCAATATTCGTTCATGTGAATACAAATCACCTGAGCTCTTGTTAAAATTCAAATTCTGATTTACTAGGTCTGGGGTGGGCCAGACCTAAAAACTTGCATTGTTTACAAGTTTTTAATGATGTCAGGCTGTTGGTCCATAACCACACACTGAGTAAAGAGAATAAAGCCCCCAGGAGCTTTTGTGCTTACCTCTCCATTAGCTGATTGCAAGGGCCTTAGCTGATTGTTTCCTTGGAGCTAAAAGGACAAGATCAAAAGGTTTTTGTTCATATTTTTACATTGGTCTTGGCTTCCCCACTGGCCTATTTTATAGCTCTATCATCTGGCTAGTAATACCATGACCCAAGATACCTCTGGAAACACCAAACTGGGCGTTAGGCTGTTTCCACTCACAGGGTCTAAGAAGTTTCTAGAGCTTCCTCACTGCTATAAGGAACCTCTGCTTCTGGACCCCAGTGCAAGAAACCCTGCTCTGTTTTTTCAGTGATAATTAAACTCTCTGATCACATTCTTGTCTTACCCTGATTACAAAAACTCTGACTTACAGCCTTCACTCCTAACCGGATACCTAAGTGACTGCCCAGCTCTGAGGCAGTCAGAGGACTGAGGTGATACTCCCAAGCAGAACAGGTGCTCTGCTGATGCCTGTTTAATGGGCAAGGCTGGCTTTCTTAAGAGTTGGAATAGTAATTTACAGCTGAGCTAGCCTGGAAGGACTAGCCACTGGGAACGAGATCACCAGTATCCCAGGCTCGTGTTTTTGACTTGTGCTTCCATCCCTGAGCGATCTTAGAAGGGTTCCTTGGCATCTCGGAGTTAGTTTCCTCATCCGTCAACTGAGAATAACTGTATCTCCCGCATACATGGAGCTAACACATATAAAAGCACTTAGTGAAATGCCTTGTAGACGATCATTCACAAAATGCCGGCTGCCAGTTATTTTAAATTACACTTTAACATCCCTCCGGCTGAGTCCGGGGGCATTGCGACACCCACCTTTACATTCCCTGAAGTTAGGGGACCAGGGCAAATCCCTCAGCAAAAAATTTCAAAGAAGTGACAGCGAGGCTAACAGCAGTTCCATCAAGAAATGTCACGAGATAATTGAAGGAACTGAAGATGTTTAGTTTAGAAAGCGTGATGGGGGCGGGGCGGGAGACCGACGCGACGGCTGGCTGCAAACTGACGTTTTCTAGGAGACCCTCGAGGGCACCACCGACACCAATGGGCGGACATTACGGGACGCAAGCCCCCGCGCGCAGCAGCGAGAGGGAATTGCAGGTCTGCGCGTCGCGAGGGGGTGGGGGCTTCCTGGTGCGCAGCTGCGGCAGCGGAGCCAATCACCGGGCGCGGCCCGTCCTCGCGCGAGGGTACAGCCGTGCGGCCGTGACGTCGGCGGTTGCCATGGAGCAGCCCACTCGGTAGCCGCCGCGAGCGGGCGCCAGGGGCCGCGGGGTCGGAGCGTGGTTTTGAAGCAGCGTCTGCCGCCACCATGAGCGGCCGAAGCCGGGGTAGGAAATCTTCCCGCGCCAAAAACCGGGGCAAAGGCCGCGCCAAGGCTCGAGGCCGCACCGCTCCCGACGACGCCCCGCGCGAGCCGGACCCCCCACAGCGCCAGCGGCTCGGGGAGGAAGCCAAGACCGCACAGGTGCAGGCTGGCGCGGGTTGGGGTGGCCTGGAAACCGCTGCGCCCGCGCCGGCCCGCCGGTCCCCCGGGGAGGAGGGTGCCTGCCGGCTCCCGCTAGATTGTGGCCTCGCGCTCAGGGCCCGCGCCGCGGGAGACCGCGGGCAGGCCGCGACCAGACCCGGCCTGGGGAAGTTCCCGACCCTCTCGGAGCGCCTGGCGACAGACACCGTCTTCGTGGGAACTGTGGGGACCGTGGGAAGGCCAAAAAATGTCCCCCGCGTGGGAAATCGCCGTGGCCCTGTCGGGAAGAAGGCCCCAGAAGCTTGTAGTGCGGTGGGCAGGGGGCCTCAGGCGATAGCTGGTGGGAAGCTGAAGAAAGGTACATCCGGGGAGTGTGCTTCCGTCCAGGTGGTCGAGGAAAAGAAAGTGGAGAAGGATGCGGGGTCCGTGCCTCCGACCACAGATGGGAGCATGGATACGCTGGAGACCGTCCAGCTGAAGCTGGAGACCATGAATGCCCAAGCCGACAGGGCTTACCTTCGGCTCTCACGCAAATTTGGCCAGTTGCGACTGCACCACCTAGAGCGCAGAAACCTCCTCATCCAGAATATTCCAGGCTTCTGGGGGCAAGCTTTCCAAAACCACCCCCAGCTAGCATCCTTTCTGAACAACCAAGACAAAGAGGTACTCAGCTACTTAAACAGCTTGGAGGTCGAAGAGCTTGGCCTCGCCAGATTAGGCTACAAAATCAAGTTCTACTTCGGGCGCAACCCCTATTTCCAAAATAAGGTGCTCATCAAGGAGTATGGGTGTGGCCCTTCTGGTCAAGTCGTGTCTCGTTCTACGCCAATCCAGTGGCTCCCAGGGCACGATCTCCAGTCCCTAAGCCAGGGAAACCCAGACAACAGCCGAAGCTTCTTTGGGTGGTTTTCGAACCACAGTTCCATTGAGTCTGACAAGATTGTGGAGATAATCAATGAGGAACTGTGGCCCAATCCTCTGCAATACTACCTAATGAGTGAGGGAGCCCGTGGAGAAAAAGGAAAGGAAAGCAGACAGGATCCAGCAAAGCAGCCAACGGAAACCCCTGGGCCTGGGGTGAATCAGGCCAACTGATCCAGCACAAGTTTCTGTTCTACCTCCTGCTGAGCCCATGCCTGGCTGACCACATGTGTTTGGCGCTCTGCCTTCTCTTCATGTTGGCCTCTGCACTGTATCCCTTTTGACTTAAGTTACAAGAATATGGCATTTATGATCATGTTCTTTTGCCTTCCCATGGCCTTGTTTTTTTTTTTTTCTCTTAACATCAGTGCCACCTGTTCTGCCCTCTCCTACTGTTCATATGTTACACACTTCAGATGTGTGCTGACCATCAGGATTGCTGGGACTCTGTTTTTGGCTCTGGCCTTTTCCACCTGTCTTAACATGATGTTGGAGAGTCATTCTCTAAGAGGACCAATGTACCCTGAATCTCTATTACTTCAGGGCCAGTGACTTGCTAAATTTTGTGTTCCTCTGACTATGCATGCCATCTATTGCAAGCTTTTCTATCGTCACTGCAAAATGAGGCCAGTGCACATGCCAAAACTGATTTTCCCATGGCTCTCAAGTCACCAGCCGAGATGACACTTATTGGAACTCCAGCTTTGGCAAGGGGCCATGCTACCCACACTGCTGCAAGGAGAATGACACTGGACTGCTTGGCGTGAATGAGGATAATGGTGAGAAGCAGAATGCTATGCGTTTGATACCATCATGTGTCTCTTCCTGCCTTTGGGCCCTTCTACTGGTGAACCTTCTTCAAGGCCCCACCACTATCAGGCCTTTGACTTTTGTCTAGTTGCTGTTGGCCCCTCATCAACAAGAGGGGCTTCCTCGTCAACAAGAACCTCAAGAACTGCCTGTGGACTTAGGTCCCCTGCCTGTACATGAGACATGCACCTTTGTTTCCCAGCCTTCCAGGAATTCTTTGGCTGCCAGACTGATTGGTGGGCTGGTTTGTGTGGGCATGTGCCCACTGTCTTCACACTGTGGCTCCAGGCAAGGGTGGGGACTGGACTCACAGAGAATGTAGGTACCTTTGTCAACTCCCCCTATCTTTTCCTAGGGGGAGTTGCTGACCAGATTGCTGCAGTGGGGGTGCTGGGGAAAAGGTATTTCTGGTCTGTGGCCTATGTCTGCTTGACTTTATCTCACATCTCCATTCCTCCCTTTGCTTTGCTTTTCTGCTTCTTCCTAATCTTCTTTTTCCTACCCTTGCATTTCTTACTAAAACAAAAACAAAACAAACAAAACAAACAAAAAAAAACAAACAGGAAACAACCACAGCTCAGAAAGAGAAAACTGAAAAACCAGGGTTTTCTCCGTACAGCTAGTGAGACAGAAATCTGGGACTTGCTCCCATACTACACACTAGAGGAAGCCAGAAGGCCAAGTGGATCTGTAGCAGATCCTGGTCCCGACACCTGGATTCACTCTTAATTCTGAAGTTGATGAGTCCTTTCATGGTTCTGCACCAGAATTACAAACCTCAGACAGCAGTGCTATGGACTAGTGTTTATTGCCTTTTTTTTTTGTGCCCCTAAGACTTAGTTGCTTCCTAGTTAGCCTCTGGCCATCTCAGCCCTCGGTGTTTACAGTCGGGAATCCTTTGCTCCCTTTGCCTCTACCTGGAAATAACCACAACAGTAGCCTTAGTTTCCAGTATGGGGGATCCTAGGTTTTGGGGATGGGGATGGACAGAATCTCTTTGGATTTCTAAGACTCATTTCCAGTATAAAAGCTGAATATAACTGAATTGGGTCCTCCCTGGCCAATCTTGTCTGGTCTTTACAACCCCATCCCTGTGGCTGGGAAATTAGGACTTTGTTATATATTCAAACCGCCCCCCCCCCCAAATAAAAACCTTATTTTCTTAGGGAAAACCACATTCTAAGTTGCCCAAGACTAACTTGCAGAGAGAGAGGTCCTAGGCAGGAGGAACTGGAACAAAAATAAGCATTAGGAATCAGGCTGGTGTGGAGTGGTCCTGGAATAGCAAGTAAGGCTTTGAGAAGCCTCAGGGAGAATATGCCTCTTAGTGATGGAGGGGACACGCAGGTACCTTCTCCAGGTTGCGGGGGGCGGGGGGTGGGGTGGGGGGGTGGACGAATAAAAGGACTGTGGACAAATACAGTACCTAGATAAAGGCACACCCAGTTTTATCTGCTCTCTCTTATCACTAGTGGATTTTATAAGTCACAGAAACATTCCAAAAACAGATTAATGTTACTTTGAATGCTTTCTCTTTTGTTCTAGGTGTGACCCTGTGTATGTGGAAGATCAATGCTGCTCACTTTGCCTCTTAGTAAAATCTTAACCACGTTCCCCATTTTTGCCTAATAGGAAAATAGAGCTGTACAGGCCTGTTTTTTTTTTCCTTTTTTCTGATTTTTTTTTTTTTATGTGTGTGCGGTTTAAACTTTTTGCTTCTTCATGATGGACATTTATTACAAACACGTGCAGAAGTGGAGAAGATGGCGGTCCCCGTGCCTAAGATGGTGGTCCTGTGTGCCTATCACTTATTCACTCCACTTGTCAATTATGATCAACCTGGTTTCATCTGCATTTTACTCTCCTTGCCTCTGTTGTTTATGGAAAGTGCAAGACATTGTGCCAGTTCAGCCATGACCACTTTGGGAGATTGGGACTATTGGCGGTGATAGTGGCAGGGTGCACGATCATCATGTCGGTCTGCTTTTTGCGTTTAGTGTGAACTAATGAAGTTCCAGAGATGGGGCTTAGAAATTAAAGTCTTCAGATTTAACAAGGTGAGGGGGCTGTTCCCTTTCCCTTGCACCCAGAAAAGGAGAGACTGTTCTGTTGTAAACTCTGTCAGAGACTGATATGATAAGGTGCTTACTTGAGACGTTCACCAGGATGTCAGTCCTTTCTTCCTGTGTAAGATGGAGACTCACATGACTGTTAGGAGTGGTGTCAGCTTGTCCTGGTTTCATAATTCTGGTCTCAGAAGTATAATTTGGAAATTGTTGCTGTGTTCTGTGAAAATAACGTTGCAAAAATAATCAGTAACTGGTTGTCTTACTTGGTCATTTGACACCCTGATAATAATGCAATTATTTGTGTTCCTAAATCCTATAAATAGTTGTAAGCTTGTGTGCATAATGGAAAAATAAAAGCTTGTATCTCTGTTATATAGTTTATTAAAAAAATTTGTAAGGCTCAGTAGTGGCTGGGCAGTTAAAGGAATATATACGTTGACTTCAATGAGTGATTCTTAAGCTTTAATTTTTGTGTGACTAGTTCGATAAAAATACATAAAATTCTGATTCTGAATATACCCTTACCAGAGATGAAGATTCTGTGGTCCTGGGAGGAAATCAGGTAGTCTCTCTTTTTTTTTTTAAAGCAAGCTTGCTAGGTGATTAGAAAGAGTGCTTCTCAAATTTTAGAGTACATCTGATAATATGGGTATCCAGTTAAAATGTGAACTCTGATTCAGTAGTCTGGCGGTAAAATCTAAGATTCTGCATTTGTAGCAAACTTTCATGTGATGCTACTCTTGGTTCATGAATTCCACTTTGAGTAGCAAAGGAGGTAACCCTTCAAGGCCCTTTCAGACTAAAGTAACAGTGCTCAACATTGGCTGTATATTGTAATTATGTAGGACATGTAAGCTAAATGAGAAGGGGGGAACAGGTGGACCCAGCTTTGGTATTTAAAAAACTTCCCAGGTGATTCCATTGTCGAAGTGATTCCAGAGTTCAGAACTAAGGTCTCTGATGCTGTTCATAACAGGTCATAACAAGGATCATTTTCCAATAATGAAGAGAAACAGCAGACAACCAAATGCCACATAAAAGTGATCAACAGAAAATAGTTGAAAAAAAAAAGTGCACTAAATTTCAAAACTGGCTTATATAATGAAAGCCTTGAATCGACAAATGTGTAATGTTAGGGCATAGTAGGTATTCAAATGTGAATGAATTCAAGTGTATATTCAGATACCTCAGGGCTAAGCTGGTAATTGAATTTGTGAAGTGGGCCAAATTTGTTTCTTAAGGATATATGTATCCTAAAGAAATCTGCTAAAGCTTCTATAGCAAAGTACCACAGACTGGGTAGCTTGAACAACAGAAATTTTATTTCCTCAGTTCTGGAGGCTGGGACTCTGAGATCAAGGTGTTGGTAGGTTTAGTTTCTTCTGAAGGACTTTCTCCATGCCTTATAGATGATTATCTGTGGACACATACTCTGTATGTTTCCTCATCTTCTGTAAGAGCACCAGCCACACTGGCTGGAACCTTGAATTCTTTCCTCTCCCAGTGTCCCATCACCTGTTCTTCAACCTGGGTGAGGTTTGACAGACAAAATAGCTATCATATGACACCTGATGGTTTAAAAATTCACTCCCATGATCTCTATTACAATAACTATCCCGTAATGAGGTTTAAAGAGATTAAATGAGCAAAATCACAAAACCAGTTCCTGAACTTTTTCCTCATGATTTCCACCCATCTGCTTTAAAAGGCAGACATGGAGAAGGGATCTTCTTTCATGTCTGTCTATCAGGGAAGACAATCTTTGCCAGTAGTCCCTCATGGATTTCAGACTTCAGTCATATTCTCTGAGCCAGAAATAGGTCACCTTCCCTCGTTTCATAATTCTCCTGGGACTGGGATTCTGTCATTAAGCAATAAGGAAAGGTGGCGAGGCTGGAATTGATGGGGGATTTTTGTCACCTGTAGTGAGATGATGCAATGGGAACACCACATTCACCCAGAGGTGCCCTGCAGCTGCACATCCTCCCAGCTTCCTGGTCACCTTTTTGGACATGGATCCGCTGTGCTTGGCGTTCTGTGTCTCCACCCCCAACACATGCTAAATGCTTTTCCAGCTAAGTAGTGGCTTTTAGGCTATAGTATCTCCCACAGCACCCAGATCTGGGTTCTTTCAGTATTTGATACAGGAGGTTAATAAATACTAGTTGAGTGAATGTGATACAGCTATTATCTTCCTAAAATGTAAATTTGAATGTGTCAGTCACCCATTCAAAACCTTTTAGGAGTAAAGTTCAAAACCTTAAGAAGCTCACAATAGTTCATTTATCATTTGCCCTTACGTTTTTTCTTTCAAACTTGTTATGCAAAATTTCAAATACACTGAAAAACTGACAAAATCATCACCCCTATACCTACTATTTTAGTTTAGTGATTAACTTTCTGGTATTTTTTTCTTCTCACATATATTTGCCAAACCACTTGGAAATAAGTTGCTTGTCACTTCACCCCTAAAACAACACACAGCTCATAAAAAATAAAAATACTCTCCTACTGTTTTACAAGACCATCACTAGATTGCAGAGCTGCAGTTCCCACACACCATGTAGTAAGTACCTCGTCCATATTTAATTTTCTCCCTCCATTGTTCCCAGATTGTCTTGTGTATTTGTCTTTTTTTTCTTTAAAAAAAAAATATTGATTTATGCATACAGAACTGGGTACAGGGGAGATGAGAGGCTTCACCAGAGACAGAGTGGGGAGTGGAACAGGCAGATCGACGAAGTACAGGAGAGGTCTGGTAGTTTGGTCTCTTGTTGAAGATGGCAACTGCCAGATCTGCGCTATGTGGGTCAACTCCAGGGTGGCGCATCAGACTCACACTGAAGCCAGCAGCGGCTAGCTTCAGCGCTGCATCCTGACCCATTGGGACACCAGCGAGGGCCTGTGTATGAGTCTTAAAAATAAGATCAAATGATGTTCAGACCTTGGTTTTGTTTGTACTTTCCCTTTATTCCATTTACACCACAAGTAATTCTTGTTTCTCCCCCACCAGAGTGCTTTCTGAAGATGTTAGGTCGTCATCCTTAGGACTTCCCACACTGTGGAGTTGTCCAGCTGCTACTTGTAGGTGGTGTTTTTCTCTATCGCCTGTATTTCTTGAAAACAAGATTTTGGCAATAACTCCTGTGGTGAGAATACTACATAGACAAGGTTGTGCGTTCAGCCCACATCACTCCACAAACCCAGTGGCAGCTTGTGTGCTGTAATGGGCTGGTAGTTTGGTCTCTTGTTTAAGATGGCAGTTGACAGAGCTCTCCCTTGTAAAGATGTTTCCCTTTCTATTTGGCAGGTACTTTGGAGTGGTACTTTTTCCACTCCATGTTTCCGGAAGCATTTTACCCCAAGGTTTCATCAGCTATTGATAACATTTGCGCAAATCAGTTATTTCAATGAGGGTTACAAAATATTGTTATTCTTTTTGCATATTTTACCTGGTATTCTGTAAGAAAGACCTTATTCTTCTTGCACCTGGTGATGAACTATATTCCTTGTAAAATGGCAGTATTAATGCTTAACTCATTTTCTTTACCTACTAATTTTCAGAATCAGAAGTTGGTAAAATAATCATTTACAGTGATCACAGTGTTTATTTAATATCTTACAATCATTCAATCATCTTTCTTTTGACTGCTCAGTGACCTGGATTTTATAAGCCTCTTTTTTTCTTTTTTTTTAATCAGACCCCTCTTGTCCTTGTCCCTGATTTTCTCCCTTCATCCCTGTGTGCCATGTTTCAGAAGGTGTGAGCCACTTCTTGCTCTCTGGACACCCCTGCACTTCTTCACAATCTGCACACTTGCATAAGCTGTTTGCTCAGTGAGAAAGTACTTGATGACCCTCTCGGGTGTTGCATTGCTGCTCAGATATTCATCTGCTCTGCTCCTTTTAATCTTTAAGGCTAAATTAGGCTCCCTACCCCTACCTCTTTATTTCCACAATGTGTTGTCCTCACTTGAATTTACAGAACCTAAAATAATGACTTGTTCTTGTCTGCTCCCACCCACTCTGAGATCCGGAGGCCACAGAATAATAACGGGCAGTATGTCTTACTAATTTTTGTGTTTGCGTGTCTCGGGGGCTTACACATAGTAGGTGCTCATCAAGTACTGAACAAGCAAGCAACTGAACGGTGCCTAAAGCTTCATGAAGACATCAGGTGACAAAAGTGCAGAGAAGTTAAAAGTGCCCAGGAGCACAGATTGGGAATAATTTCAAAGGAAGCATGAACTTAATACAAATGGATTAAAAGGAGTATGTGGGGGTAGCTATTACCTGAAAAAGGCCTCAGGCAAAAAACTTAGCAGCAACAAATTACTCTCACAGCATATTGGAAATCAAGTAGGAAAATGGAAGTGAGCAGGAAAGTAAATGACGAATGTAGGAAATGGCTATGTATGCTGTGCTTCAGTAATGTTCCTCAGCATACGAGCCTATAATTGAAAGCAAGAAAAAGTGAAATTGAGTGATTGTGGCCACTGACTTTCCTAGGGATGTCTCTCCTTATATATGGTCATGTATATGTAGCCCAAGAGATCCTAAGAGGTCCCTTGAATTTCAACGACTAGGAAACTCAGGTTGGAACAAAAACTGTCTTTCAAAGAGCAGGTACACTGATGAACAAGGAGATTAAACCTGCAGAATATATCACAGTGAGTGGATCTAGGGAAAACTACCTTGAACTTCAATGTTAAATAGCCTAAATTCCAGTAATATAGAGGAAATACGGTTATCAAAGCCCAATGACTCTGTTCAGTGCTGTGGTACCAGATAATTTACGAGAACATTCAGGACTCTTAGAGGCAGAGAAGGGTGCAAGACTAGGCTTTTAAAACCCCAGTGATGTCCTGGAGAAAAACTGAGAGCAGATAGTCTCGCAGGGTGGTCGCACGGTGTCGTCATGTCCTCAGAGAGCTATCTTCAGCTCAAATGACCCACATGCTCTGTGGGAGCATTTATGTTAGGAATACCAAGCTCCTACACACTTATATGTCATTCGTGCCTTCCTAGTCACACAAAATACATTCAACCTGCTACTCTACATGTCATTCTGGAAGAAAAGGAAGCAAAAACAACTTTTATTAGCACCCACTGCATGCCAGACTAAATGAGATATATGTAGTCATTTAAAAAAGTCATTTTATAGCGACAAGCTTAAGTCTCCAATGTTAGTCACATGTTACAGTTAATGATACTGGAATTCTGAAAGAAGCTTGCTCACTGTAACTCAGCTAAGATTCTGATTGGTGGGAGTATCTTTGCTTCTCAAATCTGTCCCTAGAAGGTGGGAGACAGCATTATTCCTAGTTTTAATGAGAATGCTTTCAGTTGCAAGTAACAGAAGCCCCCATTAATCAAGTCCAAGAGTAAGGGCAGTTACTGTTCCCATTATCAGGAGTTGGAGGCAAGGGATCCCATGACTAGCTTGGCTCCTCAGAC